CTCCCCTCTCCTCTTATGCCCTGTTAGAGTTTGTCTGTTGATCTTCCCAAATAATTAAAGTTTACATTTTGGATTTTCAGAATTGGTCACATTATCTTTCTGCTTTTGAATTTACTGCATTTTATTAATATATGGTGTGGGGCTTTTTCACATTTTAGCTCCTCTAAAATTGATGATAAAGGAATGTAATGTTTTTAATTGGCAGTGATATTCTTGGTGATATATAGATATGCCTGTCTGTAATCAGTGACATGCTAATTTGATGGTGTAAGGATACATAAATACATATAAGGACATATATAAGTACACACTTGTGTATATATGGATGGATGGATAACCATAACTCTTTGACCATGATTTCAATTTAGTATTTTAAGTTCCTTCCCTGGCTTTACCCAGTGTGAGAGGCCTGCTTTTATTCTCTCCCTTTTCCTTTCTCTTCCTCTCCCCCAGTGCAATCATCTCCTTTCGCATTCTCTTCTTCTGCCTTGCTGTAGGCTGCCATGTGTGTGTGTTTGGTGGCTGTCCCAAGAGAGAGTACACGCTCATGTGCACAGTTCCTGTAGATGACAAGATTGTCATCTAGGAAAGGGATTGGTACAAAGGTGCCGGGGAGGGGAGGAACGATGGGTGCAGTGTGTTCAGGCAGAGCAGGTCCTCTAATGTCATCAAGAATGGTATGTTTTCCCCCCAATTCTCTCTTTTTTCTGAGACATGGTTTCATACATTTTAGGCTGGACTTGAAGTCATTATGTGGTCAAGGGTGGTCATGAACCTACTGCCTACCTCCATCTTCCTACCTCTATCCCCCAAGGGTCATTTTTCTCTAGGCATGATTGTGAGAGCTGTTGTGTGTCTCTTACCTTCCATGCCTAGCCCTTTACTGACCCTTTAGCTGCATTGTCTCTTTGTATGATCTCTGTAGCTAAGATACTGGGGTTGCCAGTGGTCATGTAAGTGGGAAGTGGCAGAGCCAAGGGGTGCACATGGACAGGCCACAGCTCTAAAAGCTGACACTGCCCTTCCCCAGCTCTACAATTCAGGTAATCATTTTCCTACCTGTCCCTTAACAAGTTACCTGTTGAGTCTCTGTGGATTGCGGCTGTCCCTGTGATAAGTCTTGAGCGTCCTCGGTCATCAGGTAATCTGCTCTGGCCTCTGGGACCTTTGCCACTTGGCATATCTGGACAGAAATATTCCTCCTTGCCCTAGATCGCCTTTCTCTAGCAGGTGCTTCACAGAAGATCCCTGAGTCCTCTGATTGCCTGCTTTGGCTCTGTGTGAGCCCCTCTAGTGGTCATGTTACTGCCCCTTCAGCCTTCAGGTGGCTCTGTTCCCCTGACACAGTTAAATTATACTTTTTGTCTTGAAGCAGAGCAACCCTAGCTCAGAAGAGTCAGAGGGGAGGAGTAGGGTGTGCCTGTGCGCACTGCTTCTCATTCTCAGGATGCTAGGCACATCATCATGTGTGCATAAGAGAACATGAAGTAAGATCCTCCATCTGCCCTGATGGCTCTGGGTCTCCATCTGCTGTCTGACTGCCATGCTCAAGTCCTGCCCCTTGGATCCTTTTGAACACACAACCTTTCTAGGGTGGGTGTGTTTATCTAAATGGGAGCGGTTATGTAATTCCTGGAAAGGAGGATACAGGAACAAAATGTCCCCCGCCCCCTGGAAAACTCGTGACAGATGTCTTCCAGGGTGGGAGAAGAAACGCTTGGCCAGTCCCTGATGCTCCAGGTCCCACTGATAATATCTGCTCTCTGCTGCAGCAGGGGTCCACCTCTATCCACAAGGGTAGGCTTCTGCTAACCTGTTCCTGGGAGTGTGCATGTACCAAGATGGCTTTACAGGTCTTCATAGCTGTCCCTAGCCTAACCCTGCTCCTTCACTCCTCCAGACTTCAGAGACAGCTGGCCACACTTCAGTATCCCAAGTGCCCTGTAAAGCATGATTTAAAAAACACTGCAGGACTGAATTGATAGCTCTTGCAGAGAATAAAGGTTGATTCCCAGCACCTACATGGCAGCTCACAAATACCTGACTCCAGTTCCAGGGATCCAGCTTCCTCTTCTGACCTCTGAGGTTCCATATACACACACATAGTGCAAAGGCAGGCAAAACACCTGTACACATAAAATAAATTTAAAAAATTAAAATAAAACATTGAGAGAAAAAAATATTAAAAGCAAAACCAGACTTCACATTAGTTCTTTCCAGAATGTGAAATAATCTAGGGAAATAGACTATTCGTTTGTCTCTGAGTCAGTGTGACAGCACCTCCCCTGAGCCCCCACTTCTGATGGAAATGGGAGGGGAGACCAGCTTCACCTCTCACTTCTGAGCTACTGTTTTGATCTAGAGGTATTTGGATTTTCACTACTCACTATTTCTTACAGGAAATAGCTAAATAAAATTAGGAATGTGATGGATTCAAAATGCTTTTGTTCCAATCTCAAAGTACCATAGCAGTGTGGAAAATTGTAACGTCTCAAGGAGCCAGACCTCCTGACAGCCCTAAATAGCAGGCGGATACAAACAGGTTCCTGGGAAATTTACCGAGACCTTGAGTGTGTGAAGGAAAGTCAGACAAGCAAACCCTTCCATTTGGAAATTAAAGCATTTATTCTTAAATATAAAATTTGAAGTTTAGAACAGAGGTGAGTTCTTTGCCAGCAACTGAGTCAAACTGCCAGAAACTAAAGAACCTTAAAAAACCAACCAACCAACCAACCAACCAGCCAGCCAGCCAGCCAGCCAGCCAGCCAGCCAGCCAACCTGTGCACTTGGATGCTCAGGATCTCCCAGAACAGCAAATGAACACCTCAGTGGATACTGTGTGGGGTCAGTCACATCTCATAGACTGGCCCTGAGCACTGGTTGTGTGCAAGGTATGAGAAGTAAGCTGAACATTGGGAAGGGAGAAGCTAAGGGCACACCTTGTCTGGGTTCCAG